TCCACACGCTACGTTTAGCCCTGGGCCATACGCAATAGGTGCCTAAGAAAGCAGTGTCACTCTCCACGCTTCGTCAAAACCTCGTCACTTAGTGACTGTCCCTGGGCTCTGTGAAGGAGTACAGGGTGTTTGCCCATTGCCACAAGGCCCCATTCTGCTGTACTTTTTTAAGTTGTTTGTATCCGTCTGGTAGTCACAGTCCACTAAATTAATTTAAATTACTGCAAATGGGGAACCAGATGACCAAGTTCACATGAAGGATGCCTAAATCCATGAATAGGATATAGGTTCTTAGAGAAAATGTGGGGAGCCCTCTTCCTGGGCTTTGTGTGCGGACAATGTGACATCTGTTCTGATTCGTCAGATGCCTTTTGCCTCTGTCCAGACTGCACAGACTGCTGGGAAGTTGCTTCCGGATGACTAGGGTGCATTGGAGTACATCTGTGCCCAGTAACGTGCTAGCGACTGTGGTAAAAAGGGTCCCCTGTCACAGCCAGTGGTGACAGTTGGGGCACCCTGCAGTAAAATTTCTTGATGTGATTGCTTCTGAAGAAGAGGATTGGAAGGATCTAGTTATGAGGAATTGGCTTCCTTTACAGGTCATTTGCTGCGAGTACGGTGAGTTTGATCCCCAGCTAGCTCGGTGACTTGGTTTCCTTACCCAGGAAGTACAGGGGGCAGGGGTCTCTGGCTCACTATTTCTGAGCCCCTTTCTGTGTTCTGCAAGTGTCCCCGTCTTCGTTCTCTGTCCTCTCCAACCACACGCTCCCTAGAATTTACAGTGACAGCAAATCTTGTTGTTCTTCCAGGCAGCTTTTGTCATAGACGTCATTAGTTTTATGCAGCTTCAGCTTACTATAATTTGCATTTTAAATGTTTGGTTTTTGAAAGACTGTTAAGATTGCCATAGCTTTACCAAGCAATTTGCAAGTACCAAAGCCTGCCAATTAACTCAGATGGCCACAGCAGCGACTGCTTCCTGTCACAAAGGCTGAATCACTCAGAAGCTCCCAGCTTTCAAGGGCCAAGTGATTCATCAAGCCAAGTAACTTTGCAGATTGGGATAAGGAGCGTAGGCTATGACTTCCTTCTGGACTTCTTCCTCTTCTGTTGAGTTAGATGTGGACTCTCTAACAGCAACTTATTTTTTTCCAAAATAATATGCACTTGTAAGAAGTTTAAACTGTACATAATAATATAAGATAAGAAACAAAACATTCCCTCTGTTTCCCCTCCCTAGGAGGAACCACTTTGAACAGTTTGGTGACCATTCCTGCAGATACTGTTTCTATTCTATAAATTAATATATTTTTTTAAAAAGAGAATGTGTCTGTATAAACTTTTGCAACTTGCTTTTGTCTCCTAGCAATATCAGGTGTTGGAGGTTTCCCTGTTTGTATATATAGATCTGTCTCATTTTTAACAGTGACATTGGTTTCCATGCTGTTGTTACATCAGAAATGATCTAATTAGTCCCCTCCAGTCTAAGTCTTGGGTGCCTCCCAAATCTGATCCTGACACGATGACTTGGGTGCTGGCAGGCTGCTGGGAAGGTGATCCCAAGAAGCAACAACTGTCAGGGAATAGGGCAGGGAGGCGGGCCACTCAGGGACGTTTGAGGAGCAGTAACCGCAGCTCAGGAGGTCCTAAGTCAGGCTCAGTGCTGCGAAGGATTCACAGAACTCAGAAAAGTTGTTATACTGGTTACAATTTATTACAGCAAAAGGACACAGATTGACACCAGCAGAAGGAAAGGGTGTGCAGGGTAGAGTCGGGAACAGCCCAGGCACAAGTTCCCAGTCATGCTCTCCCAGGGGAGTCCTGTGGGCAGCACGGAACCCTCCCAGTGGCAGTGTGTGGCAGCACACTCGGAGTGGTGCCAGGTGGGGAAGCTCACTCAAGCCGTGGTGTCCAGAATATCGATGGGGGCTCAGTCACAGAGGCCTGGCTGACCGTCCAAGTGGCTCACCCTAGTCTCCCACCTCTTTCAAGGTCGAGTTGATATTGAGTAGCCCAATAAATCACACTGTAAGGTCCCCACCATAAATCACACTATAAGCAGAGACTAGTGTGGCCCAGGCAGAGAATGGTGGGTGCTCTTGGTAGGACATTATCCACAGAAGCCACGGGGAGCCTGCAGGGTAGGCTGGGGGAGTGGGTGGGCACCACAGCCCAGCCACACTCCCTCATGGACATTTTTGTTGTTCCCATCTCTCATCCTTGTAAACAATATTCCAGAGCAGGGATCAGCCAATGTTTTTGTAAAAACCCAGGTAGTAAGTATTTTCAGCTTTGGACCACACGGTTTCTGTTGAAACTGCCCAGCTGTGCTGTTCTTGTGCAAAGGCAGCCGTGGACACAATGTCCTAGTGGGTTTGACTGGGCGCCAGTAGAACTTAGAAGAAACAGGTGGTGGCCAGATTCGGGTTGGAGGCTCTGGTTTGCTGCAGAAATTATGTCTATCTTTGTCCGTCTGTGCAGATAATTCTTATGGGGTAAAGCCCTAGAAGTAGAATTGCTGGATCACAAGTTATGATGTTTTTATTTTGAGTAGATACTGAGCAGGCCCCTGAAAGTTGAACCAACTTCCTCTTCATCAACAGTGTATGGGCATGTTTTGAGATTTCCTTTCTTAAAACCCCTTCCCCAGGGAAGCAGAACCTGTACTTATTTAGTAAGATGTTTCTGCATTTTCACTGCAGCCTTGGTAAGGCAGAGGAAGAGAGACTCTCTTGCCCACAGGGAAGGAAACCAAATGGGGTCTAAAATGGTCTCATAATAATATCTTGCTAAATAAACAATAGTATCTTGTTTTAGATTTGAGTCCACAGAGAAGGGGCCTCTGGTAACTTGTTCTCGTTTGGTGAGATCAAACCTTAACTGCCCACCAGGTACAGTTCCAAACAGTTCTGGGTGTTACCTAAAAGTTGAAAAAACTTTTTTCAAATGCACCAGAAAGTTCCTTAGCAATTTTCTTCGTTAAACGAAGATTCCATCCTAGTATTTTTTTAACTGAATCTTAGTATTTTTTAATCTCTTTTTTAAAGATTTTATTTATTTATTTTTAGAGAGGGAAGGGAGGGAGATAGAGAGAGAGAGAGAAACATCAGTGTGCAGTTGCTGGGGGTCATGGCCTGCAACCCAGGCATGTACCCTGACTGGGAATCGAACCTGTGACACTTTGGTTCACAGCCTGCGCTTAATCCACTGAGCTACGCCAGCCAGGGCCCATCCTAGTTTTCATGTAAAGGAGGTCCACCTGGGCATACTGAACATTTGACCCAGTGTACAAAAAACATACATGGTCCAATTTTTGTCTTTGGAGCCGACAGGTACGGGACACCCTTGGTGGAGACACATGGCATTTCCCTCAGCCCAGTTCCCTCTGCCTAGTTCCCTCTAAGTCTTTGTGGTTTTTCGACGATGGGTGAGGTTTTTGTTCTTATTTCCGCCCCCCGCCACTCCCCATTTTTCTCATTTGGAATTCTTGTTGGGAACCCCAGGGGGAGAGCAGAGGCTCGTCAGCATTCAGGCTCTGTTTGGGGGTGCATATTTTAGCCGGTTTATTTGATAATGGCCTCCCTCCTGGGATGCAGCCCGCCCTTGCTTGGCTCACGCTGGGTGAATCTGCGATATTCCCTGGTCTGTAGTCCTTCATTTGTAACACAGACACAGCCTGCTTTCCCGGTAATGAGATGGCATGCCTGGACTACCCACATGCAGATAAAGAATTAGGCGGAACTTGGCTGAGAAGATAAATCAAGCTATCTCATTAGGCTTGAAAGACACAAATTAAGCCTGCATTGGAATTAACAGAAAAGCCTTCCAAAGAGACCTACAGCACAGCAGGAGACAGAAGAAATCGCTGTAGCCGTTTCTGTCAGGAAACCTGCCTCTGTTGCCTAGAACAGAGGAAATACGAAGTCTCTTTTTAAAAAGGTCAACAGATAGAAATATAGACTCGAAATAGCAGTACATTAAATGAGTGCTTACTGTGTGCTAGGGAGGCACTGTGTGCTGAAAGTTTTACTGGTCAGAACGTCACCCCAGCTTGTGACGTAAAGTACTGTGAAGACTGCATTGAGCCGCCGTGGCCGGGTAGAGTGTCAGTTGCTTAGAGCATCTTCCCAATATGCCAAGGTTGCGGGTTTGAGCCCTGGTCAGGGCACAGACAAGAAATGACTGATGAATGTATAAATAAGTGGAATAATAAATCCATGTTTCTCTCTCTCTCGCCCCCCGTCTTCTGAACCAAGGAGGAAACTGAGTTTCAGGGGGGTTCCTTCACCTGCTTCAGGATCCCAGAGCTAGTCAAATGACAGAGCCAGGATTCTTGTAGGATGTGTGGCCCCTCGGCCCACAGCATAAGATAGTGGGTTCTCATCTGGAAGGACTCGACCCCACCCCACCCCAGGGATAGTTGGCCATGTGTGGAGACATTTTGGGTTCTGACAGCTGGGGCTGGTGCTACTGACATCTAGTGGGTAGAGGCCTGAGATGCAGAACAGGCCCCACAACCAAGACTGAGCGAGCCCCACAGGGCAGCAGGGTTGCGGCTACCCTGGTGTAACCACTCATCTGGACTCCAGTGATGACTGACTGTTCTACTAGAACTGACTAGTTGTCGAGCTCTGTCAGCAGCTGGCAACGGGACATAAGTTTCATGTTGCACATTGCTGGGCCGGGGGTGGGAGGGTAGCTTTCCATAAGAAAGAACAGCCAATGTGGAGAGAGGCTGGAAGGTAGGATGCACCTGGCATGGTGTGAGGCAGCAGGAGACCCAGTGCCACTGGAACAGGGAGCCTGTGGGAGAACAAGCTGAGACAATCAGGGAATTCTCACCATTGAAAGAAACACAGTGTCCTGAAAGCAAGGACCCTGTGTCTGCAGTAGAGGAATGTGTACACTAATGGCCTCTGTCTTGTTCCTGCCTCCTGTTCTGTTTCCCTCCTTCCCCTCACCTCCCCCACCGCCCCACTCCCATCCCTTTGTCTCTCCAGTGTTCGGCCACAACATGAAGAGCAGCAACGACTTCATCGGAAGGATTGTCATCGGCCAGTACTCTTCGGGGCCGTCCGAATCCAACCACTGGCGGCGGATGCTCAGTACTCACCGCACAGCTGTGGAGCAGTGGCACAGCCTCAGGTCCCGGGCCGAGTGTGACCGCGTGTCTCCTGCCTCGCTGGAGGTGACCTGAGGGCTGCAGGGAGGGCAGGTGTTGTTTGTTTTAAAAGAAATGAAAAAAAGGAAGAAAATTTAAGACAAAAAAAGGTGTCATCTACCTATTACATCCACACCTGCGTATACACTCACCACACACACACATACACACACCCAAAATTCTCTCAGAACTGAGAGGAAGCTGACTGTTGATCACAAATGGCCACCCTCAATGAGTGAGGCCTGAGAACTTTCCGGAAGCCCCATCCCTGTGCCACAAGCTGAGCTGGCATTGCTGTGAGACTTACTGGCAGTTCTTGCTGTTGTTGATATCCCAAACCCACCCCGCACCCCAAATGCACTTTCAACCTTCAAGCCAGAGGATGGGCGTCCCAAAGGGTGCCGGCCTCCATCGAGATGAAACTTTCCAAGTGTTTGGCCAACGTGGGGGAGGCCCGACCCCCACACCCAAAATGTACACCCACCGGGTAACTTTGGAACAGGCTGCTGTTGCCTGGGGTTCTTTGAACCTGATACCTTTCCTCCAAAGTGTAAGTACTTTGTCTTCTCTTTCATGGACATGATAAATATAGATTTAGACTATTTGGAGAACCAATCAGCAACAAAAAAATATTCCAGTGTAAGAGACCTCTCCTGGCTTAACCGAATTTTTCCTCCTATTAGCCTATTCCTGGGCACTCCCTGTGGGCACGTATGTGGATGTTCTCGTGCGTGTGCCCTCACAGGTGGACGCGTGTGTGCCTGTGTGTCCTTTGGAGGGCAAGGCAGTGGGCCAGGACCCCAGTCCTGAGCCTTCCCTTCTCTGCCTCTCACATCAGTGCACCTTCCCCCAGTGTCCCCCTATGTGGCAAGACCCCACCTTTAGTAACAGTAGTGTGGATGTCTGTCAAGAAACTAGAATATGATAGAGCAAAAGCAACATTTTTTCGACCAAATCATGGTGATGTGACTCACAGAAGACCTACACAGGATGGTGACATGGATTCAAATGGCCGCCGCACCCTCACCCAGGATGATCTCCCTCCTTGTCACACCCTGAGGAGCTTTCTGTATTTCTGTGTGAACCAAAGTAATTTCTCTTGTGCTAAGGAATTAGCATAGTTAGAATAGCTCTCTCTTTGGATGCTTCTGTATCTTTTCCCACAGCCTATTGTCTGGTATACTAGGGAGCTATCTGTTGAAATTAAAGATTATTTATTTGTGCCATGCATTTGAGTTATCTTTTCTCTTCAGGAACACGGGCATAGAGGGTTGGAAGGGTGTTTCGGTTACTACTGCTGTGGAACCAACCATCCCGATGACTCAGAGCACCTATATTTGTTGTGCTCATGGATTCTGTGGGTCAAGAGTTGAGACCAGACACATCAGGGATGGCTTGTCTGTGCTCCAGGCTACCTAGGCCCTCAGCTCCTAGGCCCTAGGAGCTCAAGGGCCACAGTGGGGAGAACCAGACTGCCAGCCACACTAGACATTCTTGGTAACATTAGAACGTGGTCTCCGAAGGAACAATAGTTGAAAACATTAAAGTATATTCATCTGACAACTGATCATCCTCAGGAGATCATCTGGGCTTTGTTTATCACTATTATCTCCTGGACAGGCTCTCTCCTCATTCAGTGAACAGCATGGTTACCAGCAACCTAAGTGTCCCAACTCATACTCCTCATCAGGATCCAACTGAAATTGTAACTTTCTGATTTCCAAGACAGAAATAATTGCTCCTTGCTGTCCTCCCTACAGCAAGGACCTTATATTTCTGTTTAACTCTTATAATAACAACTACCATTTATTGAGGACTCACTGTGTGTGTGCTTAACCCAGTATGTGTATAATCTCACTCGATCTTCACAACAACCTTTTGATGTAGGAGCTCTTATTATCCCTTCCACATGAGGAAACAGACTCTTTTCTATTATAAAACTTCCCATTTGTTCAGGGTAGGGTCCATGGCTGTGTAGCTTTATTGATCATGCCCAGCTCAAAGCTTGACCCCAGTAAATGCCCCTGGGCTGAGAAGTTAGCTGAGATGACTTCACTCCTCCCGACCACATTGGGCATTGCAGGCTCCTCTCATGGCCCCCTGGTGTCTCCCACTCTGGAGTGGAGGTGGCATGGAGGTAAAGGGGGAAAGGCAGGAGACCTGGGATAGGTTATATCTCTCAGGGTAGAAAAGGAGAAGGAATTTTCCTTTTCTATAAAATGTCTTTCTTACTGAGCATGAAAGTATGAGAGAACAAGCAGAATGAGGGAAGATAGATACAGACAGGTACATACAGGCATCAGGACTGGAGTTGAGGTAATTTAGTCATTGGACCGCTGGGCTTTGGAGTCAAAGAAGTCATGGTTCAAATCCAAGGCCCACCACTCCCTTACTGTGTGCCCTTGCACAAGCCTCTTAACTTCTGTGATCCTTATGTCGTCATTCTCTTAGTCACAGTACCTCAAAAGCAGCCCTTGAGGCAAAGACCTGAGTGCAGAGAGTTTATTTGGGAGGTGACCTCAGGAAGCATGACACAGAAGGCTAATTCAGGGAAAGCTGAAAGTAGATGGAGGCTGCATTAACTATACCTGTGGGCAGTGGCGACTCAGTCTTGCTGGGACCCATGGAGAACACATGAGAATTACTACGGGGAAGCTGGAATATTTAACTACTGACCCTATCCCTCGGGTCTTGAGGGTTGCCCCTGGAGGCACCGAATGTTTGGCACTTTGGGACTGTCCTGTGTGGGCTGAGCAAGCTCCCACAGCAACGAGAAATCCCCAGGCAGAGAATGAGGTGCACGTGCTGAATCAGGTAAGTGTGTATGTGCACGGCCAGGTCCACCACAGCCACAGGAGGACTCAGGTGGACTGCATACTACCAGGTGGGGTATGCCCAGCATCCTCTGCTCTTGACAATGACAAGAGGGCCGGCTCACAGCAGATGGAGTGCCAAATGTCTCCTTTAGTCCTCACACAGCAACCCCTGTGGGAGATGGTATTCCTCTTTCAACAAAGGAGGAAGCCAAGGTTTGATGAGATCAAGTGGCCAGTAAGTGACAGAGCTAGAATGCCAGCCCAGGCCCGTCTGACTCCAGAGCCTGTTTTTGGCTGCATTGTGTTCCCTCAAAACAGGTATGTTTGCCCTGGCTGGTGTGGCTCAGTGGATTGAGTGCTGGCCTGCAAACTGCAGGGTCACCAGTTCAATTCCCAGTCTGGGCACATGCCTGGGTTGCAGGCCAGGTTCCCGGCTGGGGGTGAGTGAGAGGCAACTAGTTGATGTATCTCTTGCACATTGATGTTTCTTTCCCTCTCTTCTCTTCTCTCTAAAAATAAGTAAATAAGTAAATATATTTTTAAAGGTATGTTTGTGTCCTAACCCCCAGGACTTCAAAATGTGACCTTATTTAGAGATGGGGACTTTACAGAGGTCATCAAGTTCAAGTGAGGTCATTAGGGTGAGTCCTAATCCAATATGACCGGTGTCATAAAAACGGGAAGTCAGGACACAGTTCCTGACAGACACACACAGGGAAGGTGATGAGAAGAGACACAAGGAGAAGATGGCTATCTACAAGCCAAGGAGAAAGGCCTGGAACAGCTCCTCCTCTGCTAATGCCTTGATTTCAGAGTTCTGACCTCTGGAACTGAGAGAAGGAATTTCTGTTTCTTCAGCCACCTAGTCTGTGCTATTTTTGTTGCGGCAGCCCTAGGTCACTAGTCCAGAACTGGTGTGGATAACTATTCTTACCCCATACTGTTGACAGTTGACATGAGGATTAGCCACGACATTGCCCACCAAGTTCTCACGCACAGTATTCCAAGACTGCTCCTACTCAGCACACAGCAGGCAGTGGTGCTGGTTGACTAATGGGATGGGTAGGATAGATGTCAGAGCTATCCACATCTCCAAGGCTAGAGTCTGTCAGGAGACAGGGAAATGTGTTGAAAGGTGAAGGAATGACTTGGTTTCTATAGAAACCTGGGCCCAAGGTGCCCTGTTGTGGGCTACCTACTCGTTTTAATTAGCATCCTCCTCCTCAGCTAGGAGATGGGAAAGAAGATGCACAGGCCACCTACACACCATCTTTGGGGTGCCGGGACCCCAGTTCAAAAGGAGGTGGGGTAGGAGTGGTAGCGTGAAGTTTTAAAGCCTTGTCTATTTTCCCAGGGCTAATCCCTGGGTCCTCTCATCTCTTGGCACTCCAGAGCCCCTCAGGATTCCAGTCCACCCCCCGGTGCTTGACAGAAGCTCTGACCTCTGCCTACCCCTGCTCAGATGTGGTGGGTCCCAGGGCTCCAGGAATAGCTCTTTTGGGCACGGATATTTCACTCCCAGACAGCTGGGAATCACTGCAAGGCACAGAGAAAAGATTCTTTTTCTTTCTGGGAGGACTGTCTTCCATGGCCAATGGGATACCTGCTCATTTCCATGTTCAAAAATACTATTGGAAGTAACTCAGGAATGATCACCATTGTGTAAAAACTAAAAATGTATCCTAAGAAAAAAGACGGGAAGGCATTGTCCTAACGCAGGGGTGTCAAACTCATTGTCACCAGGGGCCACATCAGCCTCGTGGTTGCCTTCAAAGGCCAAATATAATTTTAGGACTATATATATGTAACTACTCCTTAACAGTTAAGCGAGAGCTCAGCACTGCCGTCGGGTAGAAAGAAGGTGCCAGGCCAGATAGAACAAGGTGAAGGGCCGGATTTGGCCCTTGGGCCTTGGGTTTACTACCTGTGGCCTAAAGGTTGGCCAGTTATCCTTTGGGAAGTTGTTTTGCTACTCAGTGTCACACCTTCCTATGCAGTATTTTTGAAGGTTTCATACTGATCCGAGCCTTCATCATGTGTCAGGGATTGTTCTAAGTACTTGTGTGAGGAAAGTATTGATTTGTTCCCATTTTGCAGATAAAGAAACTGAGGCTTAAAGGGATTAAATTACCAGTATGTGGTCACACAGCAGCAGGTCTGGAATTTAAGCACGGATCTGCCAGAATTGAAAGCCATGAATGAACTAGCCTCTTTTGTCCCTTTTATAATGGTGGTGAGGGTGCAGGGGACTTTGTTTTACTGGTAAGTAAAAATTGTTTTTAAAAAGCTAGGAAATTAAAGGAGATGATAGATAGATAGATAGATAGATAGATAGATAGAGAGATAGATAGATAGATAGAAAGAAACAGATCATCACTGAACCCCAAGGCCACCATTAGCCCAGTGCAGATATGAGTGAGTGAGTGTGTGTGTGTTGTGTGTGTGTGTGTGTGTGTGTGTTCGTGCAGTGTGTGTGTGGAAGGGGGAGGGCGGGTAATGCCATCACATACAACTTTAGGAAGCCAGAAAATACATGCTGAAGAAATTGTCTACTTTCTGGCCAGTAAATCTGAGTTCTAAAGCAGTGGTCAGCAAATTATGGCTCATGGGCCAAATCCTACCCTCTGCTTATTTTTATAAATCAAGTTTTATTGGGACTTAGCCAGGCCCATTCCTATGGTCTCTGGCCAAGCTGAATAGTTGTGACTGAGACTAATGCTTGCAAAGCCTACAGTATTTACTATCTGGTTCTTTACACAAGAAGTTTCAGTTGCAGTTATATGTGATGAATAGGCTATCTAATGAAGAATAAGACACCTAATGTACAGCAGGTGACTGTAGTTACTAACACTGCACTGAATACTGGCAGTTTGCCAACAGTAGATTTCAGGTGCTCCCATCACAAAAGAAAGGTAACCACATGAGGAGATGACATGCTAATTGGTTTGACTGTAGTATCATTTCATTATATATATATGTATATTAAATGCTGTTGTACACCTTAAATATATACAATTTTATTAAAAATAAAATTTAGCTCTGGCCAGGTGGATTGGTTGGTTGGAGCATCATCCTATACACCAAAAAACTGTAGATTTTTTAAAATTTTATTTTAATCATTGTTCAAATACAGTTTTCTCCCAAAACTGTGGATTTGATTCCCGGTCAGAGCACATACCTAGGTTGTGGGTTTGATCCCTGATCGGGAAGCATACAGGAGGCAACCAATCGATATTTCTCTCTTACATTGATGTCTGTCTATCTGTCTCTCTCTTCCCCACCTTCCTCTGTTTTTAAAATTCATAATAAAAAAATATCCTTGGGCTCTGGCTGGAGTGGCTCAGTGGATTGAGCTCCAGTCTGCAAACCGAAGGGTCACCGGTTTAATTCCCAGTCAGGGCACATGCCTGGGTTGCAGGCCAGGTCCCTGGTCAGGGGCATGTGAGAGGCAACCACACATTGATGTTTCTCTCCCTCTCTTTCTCCCTCCCTTCCCCTCTCTGAAAAGAAATAAATAAAATCTTTTTAAAAATATCCTTCGGTGAGGATTAAAAAATAGAATTTATTTTAAAAGCTTGCCTTGCCTACTCCTGTCTAGAGCAATGCTTCATAAATGTTAATGTACCTCTGGCCCCCCTGGGACCTAGTTACATAGCAGATTCTGACGGCAGGTCTGGTCTGGGACCTGAGAGCCTGCATGTTTAACCTACTCTCGGTTGATGCTGACACTGCCGGTCTGCAAGCACCTGGGGTTGTAACAAATGCTGTGTGTTTGCATCCAGAGAGGGGGCAGGAACCCAGTCACCAAGCCTTCAGCCATCACACACCAACATGGATCATTTAGGGGGTTTATTTGCCAGATCAAAGGATTCTTCATGTTTCAAAAGGACTTGCAGTGGCCTGTGTCTGACTACCCTTCTCCCCGCCAGTTTGTTCCCACTCAGAGAGTGAGTTCCATGACGGCAGGACCCCCAAAGTAGAGCACAGCTGCTGATGCGGAGTGAGGAGGAACTGTCCAAACTTTCTTCTCTATTTGTATCACATACCAACTTTTAAAAATGTCAATTTGGGGTTTTATAACGGACGTGATATATTAGTACAGTAGATAACACACGCACATCATTTACAGAATCAACGTTTATTGTTTATAAATAATAAATGTGCACCAGCGTGAAGTTTTGAGGCAACTGGTGACACGAGGCGTGCTGCCCGCTGAAACAGGCCCTGGGCGGTGCTGATGGCTCAAGTCAGACCTGGGCAGGCCAGCTTCCAGCCGCAGCGCCAGCAGGACAATGCACCCTGCACGGGCAGAGGTCACATTATTTCTTGCAGGCACACCAGCGAGTATTCCAGGGAGAAAAGGAGTGGCTGGGCTATGTTCAGGTCCTCCCTGGGCATGCCCACTGCAAAGTGTCGAGGCACCTGGCTGTGCATTTCAGGAAAAGAAAGGGGCAGTGCAGGGTGGGCAGTGCGAGGGGGTGCCAGAAAAAGGCTTGCACTGGATCAGTGATAATTGTAGCAAAAGCTGCTATCATTTATTGAACATCCGCTAATCACCAGCATCTATACTAAGTATTATAAACAGATTATTTTATTTACTCTTTGTGAGGTTGGTATAGTTACTGTGCTCTATTTTATAAAGGAGGAAACTGAGGCTCGGAGAGCCAAAAGGACTTGTCTGAGGACACATGAACTCAGGGAAAGACTGGTCTTTTTTTTTTTTTAATTTAAGGCAATGCTTTATATAAACCTGACATTAAAATATGTGTTAAATGATTAATGTTGTGTATGTGTGTGTATGTGTGTGTTCTAGAGAGAAAGGAAGAGAAAGAGAAACATCGATCCATTGCCTCTCACAGACACACCAACGAGGGACCGAACCCACACCCAGGCAAACCTAAGACCTTTTTGTGTACAGGAGGATGCTCCTACCCACTGAACCACACCAGCCAGGGTGAGGGAAACACTATTCAAATAGCTAAAAGCTATTTGAATTCTCCATTTGTGCAATGAGATCCCAATGAAACACCAGTGGATTTAAAGATGTATAAGTCTGAGCAAACTACACACTAAAACTATTAATGATAGCGTTTGCTTCTCTTTGTTGACATTTATTCTGTGTCAAGAACCATCTATCCGAGCCTTCTTTAACCTCCGAGAGACTCCAAAGGGGACCAACCCACCTGCCCTTCCTCTGAGCTTCCTCCTCAGCAGGCTCTGCAATGCTCTGGGGCCAGGCCAGTAGGGCGGGGTCCAGCTGAGCCAAGGTCCACAGGCCCCGCCTGAAGGGGGCGCCCTTTCCCACCTCTGCACAGCTGTTTCCATGGCTCAGTACAGATGAGGGCTAAGCCGTATCTGATCTTCAGATTTTCAACAGAAGGCAGAAATCTGGACTTATCCCTAAAATCTCTTGATTTTATACCCTGACATTTTTTTAAAAAATTTTAAAACATGACATGGACCAAACAATTCACATCCATGGGTGAGCTGGCTTTAGTCAAAGAGACCTCCGCATTCTATGGTATGGAATGCGGAGGTCTCTTTTATTTTTACCTACTGGATTATATTTTCTCTGAAAGGCAGAGATGCTTTATCTCCTGTAGCAGGCTGAGATGTGAGCTCTGTTATTACCTCATCTTACAGAAGAGGAAACTGAGTCTCAGAAGTGGGTGCACACCCAAGGCTACAAGGTGGCTCAGAAGCAGGACTGCTATTTCTCTTGGCTTTCCTGAGGAGGCTGGCCCAGAACAACTCTCAGGCTGTCATTCTGAGTTGTCTCCAGTGGTGCAGAGAGAAGGGAGGGCAGGAGGAGGAGACTGGGGTCTACCCAGTTGCTCCTGAGCTCCTTGCAGTCCCCGCCTGCACCCAGGAGAGCCAGTCGGACCCAGACCAAAGGTCTTTCACTCAGGCCAAGAGGTGGACTTCTTGGGGCCCAGGATGCAGAGGTGGGAGCTGTGGGCCTTGGCCACCATGACCCTCCTCTCTGCACAGGCCTTTCCACAAGCAGACATCAGTATCAGCCCAGGAAAGCACAGGGGCCAAGGCCGGGAGCAGGTGGAGAGGAGGACACCCATAGGTACTTGAGATTCATTCTATCAGAAAGTCCGGCTGCCTGGACTGCATGTAGGCCTGCCTGACCTGAGGAATGTTGGGGCCAGGGCTCAGCCTCCTGACAGCCCTCCAGCTCCCCTCCCTCCAGCTCATGGGCATTATCCTTGACCCAAAGAGTCCTGATTTTAAATCCTGGCTCCGCATCTTAAAGCTCAGTGGTGTAAGTTTCCTAACCTTGCTGAGCCTCAGCTTACTTTGGAACACGGTGCACAATGACACCCTCCGGGGCTACTGTGCCAGAAGGATGATAAGGTGGGGAAAGCACACAGTGCAGTGCCAGCAACATAGGAAGATCTGAAAATGGTAATTTGTTAGGAATCTGGCGTCTGGGCTCCCCACCCCTACCTGGGCTGTGACTGCTGTTCCCAGGAGCTTTCAGGGCTGCCGCTGTGCCACCAGGGGCTGGGCATGGAGGAGGACATAGTCATCCCTTGTCCCTCAAGCATGTCCCTGGAGCCTGGCCCAGCAATGCTCAGCTCTGCAAATTTTATGAAGCATTCCTAAGAACTGGGACCCACCATTCTCTGGCATATGGCCCCCCAAGTCTGTTCTCTTCCTCTTTGAGGAAGGGATTTAGAGGACACAGGGCTTCAGATGGGCTCGATTTCTTCCTCTTTGCAATGGGGAGGCAGGGTTGCTGACTCGGGGACCCCTGTCTGGGTAGGAAGAGTCCTGAATCCTGCAGTCTCCTCATTGCTGAGGCTCTTGGTTGTCATCTCCACCAGGAGGGTTCTTTCCAAACATAGTTTAAAAAAGATATAATAATATCAATAACAACAATTATGATTTATATAGCCCATATCATGTTCCAGTGCTGTTTTAAACATTTTCCATAAATGGATTTATTTAATCCTTACAATAACTCTATGGCAGAAAGACTATTGTTATCCCCATTAAAGTAAACACCCATAAAGCCGCATTATTGGGCTGTTATGAAATAGGCATAATTTAAACAGTAAGATGATAGGATTGCCAGAAAAAACACTGATGTCCTGGTAAATTTGAATTTCAGGTAAATAATAAATCATTTTTTAGTATAAGTATGTCTCAAGTATTGCATGGGATCTATTTATGCTAAAAATTATTTGTTGTTTATCTGCAATTCAAATTTAACTAGGCATACTTTTCCCCCTAATTTGGCAGCCCTAGTGGTGAGGGGTGGGGTGTGGTTTCAGTTCATTTGGGCAAGCTTCAGGGGCCTAGGTTCTGTCAAAAACTGTGAGTGTCTGCATTAGTCAGGTCCAGCTAGTCATCTAACCCTACACACCTTTCAAAGACCCTACCTCCACATGCCATTACATTGTGGCAGGGGTGAATGCTTCCACATATGAATTAGGAGCAACATGGACATTCAGCCCATAACAGTGTTTTTGCATTCTTGCTCTTGTGGCTCAGTTTCCTCACCTGTGCAAATGGGCAAGTAGGAGAGAAGTTGGACAAAATATCCTTGAAGGCTGCCTTGTATATTCCGAGGTCTTGCCTTTCTGCCCAGCATGTGTGGGAAGGGCTGGAGCTGAGTTTGAGAATGGGAGCAGCTAGGAGTCTTCTCTCTCACACTAGCTTGTACCCATGGGATGTCCTGAGCTTCAAGTGCCCCCCCTTAATAAGTATCCCCATTAAATGGGGATAATAATGTTTCCTACCAAACATTTTGGGGACCTTCAATGAAATCATGCAAGTAAAGTACTTAACACGTGCTAAGCTCTTGAAAAATGAGAGCTAGTACTATGATCACTTCTGCCACTGTGATTGGTGGTGTTGTGATAACACTGGCCAGACAACAGTTTTCTGTTGTAACATAAAGCCTCCAAGAAAGGAACTTCAGACATCTATCCGTAGGCCTCACCTCCCCCGCCTTTCAAGTAGGGCTGAGATCACTTCTAACCTAGCAAACTTAGAGATCTCAGAGCTGCAGTTGGAAAAAGTTGGAAAAAAGAATCCTGGAAATCTGTTCAGCCCAAACTTCTTCTTCTTATTTTTTAAAGATTTATTTATTTATTTTTAGAGCGAGGGTAGAGGAGAGAGAAAAACTTCAATGTGTGGTTGCCTCTTGCATGCCCCCTACTGGGGACCTGGCCTGCAACCCAGGCATGTGCCCTGACTGGGAATCAAACCTTTGGTTTGCAGGCCTGTGCTCAATCCACCGAGCTACACCATCCAGGGCAGCCCAAACCTTTAATATTACAACTGTGGAAACTGAGACCAAATGACCCAGTCAAGGTCATCATCCATCCAAGTGGTAGTTCTACTGCTCCCCAGGCTCCCAGCCCAGCAGCAGAAAGCCCAGCTGGAGGTTGAGCAGATTCTGGGGTGTCCAACCTTCAGCCTGCAGGCCTCATGGGGCCCAGGATGGCTGTGAATGCGGCCCAACACAAAACCATAAATTTACTTAAAACACCATTATTAGCAATATAAGGAATTATATGGTGCCATTTCCCCTGTATCATGTGGTTACAAAAGCAACCTAGAGAAGGAAAAGCAGAGCTCAGGCACCAGAGCTATGGGACAGCTACTGCAGAAATGGAGTCCTTGCAGTGTTGCAAGAAAAGCATTTCCAGGGTCCACAGGGGAGAACGAGGTTTAGTGGTAAGGTTTATTTGGGTTGAAATAAATGCTGCTTCCAGGCTCCTGATGTCCCATCTTCAGCCAAGCCACTGTGGAAAAAGTCCAGCCTTGTCTTCATCAGGCCCAGGAACAGGGCCAGTGTCCAGAGATTCTGTGCCATCAGTTCAGTCCATGTTAAAGCCCAGTCCAGTTCAGCATTTGTCCCCATCCGCTAGCTTAGCCTGCTCCTGTCTGTGCTTTAGGTGGCTGGTGGCTGGACCTGTGCCCAGGCCCACACTTGGAGTCCCCGAGGCTAGGCCACAGCTGCTAGGCCCATATGGCAGCTATGGAGAGAGAACACACAAATGAATGGGGCAAGTTCACTTGAGGTGGGGGCGGGGGGGGGAGAGAGAGAGAGAGAGAGAGAGAGCCCCTCTGTTAGGCTGATTATATTATCTTAGGCGTGGGAAGGACCAGGCACCCTTGCAAACTAACCAATCAACTTCCCAATCTTTTGCGGGCTGGTTTAGGGTCCTCCCTCTAACCACTCAATTTCCTAGATCTTCAGGGATTCTGTGTCCCTTATCCAGTCCAATTGATCCTTTTTGCAGACTTGACTGACCTGCCCTTATGGTCACCATTTTGACCCCTACTGTGTGTGTGCCCAGCAGTGGAATTTCCTTGCTGTTTTTACTCCCCCTTCATGCCTGCTTTGGGGCTAGTCCCAATGCAGCAGTCCCCTGGGAAGCCCATGCATGCTGCAACTTCCTAGTGAAGCAGGCTGTGTCCATTTCAGCTCCCCAGTTGATTAGGCTTCCTACTGTTTGATTACCTTTGCTCCCTTCCTTTATTAGTACTTAGCCACCTACCATAACAGGACCACCAGTTCTGCTCATCAGATCCAGGGCTCACTGGGAAAGAGGATGGGTTGTCAGTGGGACATCTGGACCAGGGAGGCAACAGGAACCAAAGGTGATGAAAGTGACTGCACTCTCCTAGTGGCCACCACCCTGGACACTGGGAGACACTTTCCCTTGACCCTCTGGAACATCTGGGGTCCAGTAGTGTGGGGGTGGGGAGACCCACACAAATGTGACTCCCAGAGCCCCCTCCTCCTCCTCCTCCTCTCCTGGCTGGCTCCCAAGGCTGATCTGGGCAGGAGGCAGCAGGGTAGAGAGTTTGTGGGTGGCTGGACTGGGGCCAGCCCAGCGAGCAGCCAGTTTGAGTGGGAAGGTGACAATTTATTCTTTTAAAGAGAGAAAGACAGAGTGAGAGGGAGAGAGAGAAAATGAGCCTTGAACTCTACTGGTATGTTCTTTCCTTAATAAGCTCAGTGATTCCAAAGGCTTTGACTCCCATCCCAGCCCGGAGAAGCTGGGGGCCTTTGGTGCTGTTAATTGAAGTAAAAGACCTTGTAGTTTGGCAGCCTGGTTTCCAGAGCAACAAGCTCCTTTGTACATTCCTTTTCCCTACCTTGTCTTTGTCACCTCCTGGGCCTCTTCTTTGCCTGCCCCCACCCCTAACCCCACCCACCCTCCCTCCACCCCTTGGAATCTTATTTGCAATTCTCCACATGCTTTATTCTCTCATATACCTTTGGGCCTTTGCACATACTGCTCTGCTACCTGGAACACTCATTCTCTGATTCTTCAGGTCCCAGTTGAGACATCCCCCCTCCAGGAAGCCTCCCTGATCTCCAGATGGGGGTCATGTGTCACTCATAGGTAGTCCTGTGACAACACCCTGTATTTCCTCCGTCTGGGAAGGGGACTCTGGTGCCATTATAATCACCTGTGAGCTCCTTGAAGACAGGTGCAGGGCAACCACCAGTTCAGCTAAGAAGAGAAAAGGGGCAAACAAATAACTAGCTTCCAAAATAACTTGGGGGCTTCTCCCTCAAGTTTTTGCCTACATGCAATACATCCACAAATTACATATTAGTGACATCTTTACATCTGTGCTTCTTTTTCTTAATGTCAGTGTCTATAGCCATGAGGTTAGAAGCCACCTCTGTGTGGTTCGCCACATAGTATCTCCAGTATGCAGCCCACTGCCTGAGACCACATAAGTGCACACATAGGACTTGGTGAATGAATAAAGAAATGAAAAAGGTCTAGCCAATCAACACTGAGACATCATAACTTGGCTTCATAACTTAGTTCTGCCACTTAGGAGCTGTGTGATCTTGGGCATGTTACTCAGCCTCTCTGTGCTTATGGTTTCTCTGTCTGTAAACTCAGGGTGACCTACATCATAGGATGTGTGAATACTGAATAAACTGATGAGTACCAAGCACTTGACAACACCTACTTCAAGTGAAAGCCCAGTAGGGTCGGCCCTGGTTATTCTGTTGCCATTACTACCTGTCAAGCTATACAACTATAGAAACGCCTTCACAAGGAAGGAGAGATTAGCAAAGGCTACTTCGGGGTTAGGTTGATGAAAGGTGTTCCTGGGATCCCTCTACTTCCAGTTTCTAAAATCCCAGAGGGAAAGTGGGTTGTGGGGGGCAGGGTGTACCGGGCAGCGGGGAACTCATTACCATCCCAGTGTGAGTGGGAGGCTCCTTTTGTCCTCCCGGAACCTCCCAATTAAAGGCCTTTGCCTGCTCAGGTGGAACGGGGGAGTAATTGAGCAGTGACCTGTCACAGCCCCATTTTCTGGTATGTTTCACCCCAGGCATCCATACCTATGATTTGCTTAGTGCAGAAAAATCAAAGGGGTCAGGGGTGAGGAGGAGGGGATGTAAATAGCAACGTGGGGCCAAACTTCAGGGAGATCATTTTCCCCATGGGGGACTTGCTTTTAAAGTAGCGGTCAGGCTTTAGGGCCCTGGAGAAGCCTCAGAGCTTTTTCTAGGAGCTAAGATCCTCCCCTCCCTTCCTTCCCAGTTCCCCTAATAATTTAAATAATCATTAAGTCTTCCTGGACCAGTCTGACTCAGGGAGTGAGTGGATGAGCGTTGATCCTCCAGGTTCTATCTATTGGTCTGGCACACTGTAGACCAGTGCTCCCACAATTTCCCCGCACCTGAAACCTTGGGAGTCTTGTAAATATGCAGATTCTGACTCTGGGGTATTTGGGACAAGGACGATGAGATTCGACATCGCTAATGAGCTCCCTGGTGATGCTGATTCTGCCCTTCCCAGTTATTATCACACTAAATAACCTGAACAACCAGGGTCATCAAGCAGCCTTCAGTGCTCAGTGAGAACAGTCCAGGCTGCCATCCTAGAGTCAGGACACAGGGATGGTGCACACACCCTTCTCACCACTGTCCCCAAAAGGGGGCAGTAGCCCCAAAGAAACTGTGTGATTTCTTAGCACATATTTAGTCATTCAAAACTAGTTTTTGTGTACCTAGTATGTGCCAGGCATTGGGGAGAGTGATGGTTACAACAGACGTTTACCTGATTAGGGGTGGGGAACCAGCCCTGAAGAAGAATTCACATTCATATGTGAAAGGAACCAGGAATTGAGACGGGGGCCCTCTCATAGAGAAGGACCCACTATGTCTCATCTCATGGAAAAGGGACTCCAGAAGGAAAACAAAAACAAAAACGAAAAAAGCCCTCCCACATTGCCAGAGGGAGACAAGGAAATCCACTTCACCCCAAGCTCAGGGAGGAAAAAGCAAGACCTCCCTTCTTCAGCCTTCTTTGGTGAGGTCTGTACCATCAAATTTAAGTACAGTGTCCTAGCAATGTCCCAGGGCTTTTAAGCAGCCATGGGTTTATAGTAGTAATATGCTTAACCCTGAAATTAGAGAACTAACCCAAACCCTGCTTTTAATCAGTTGTGAGGCCTGTGGCTTAATTATTGTTAAAGAAAATACAGATAAACGGAGAAATGTGGATATCTGCTATGACGGTTTTTTAAAAAGATTTTATTTATTTATTTTTAGAGAGGGAGGGGAGGGAGATAGAGAAAGAGAAACATCAATGTGTGGTTGCTGGGGGTTCTGGCCTGCAACCCAGGCATGTACCCTGACTGGGAATCGAACCTGCGACATTTTGGTTCGCAGCCCGCGCTCAATCCACTGAGCTACGCCAGCCAGGGCTAGATGCTGTGATGTTTTGTGTTGGGCACTGTGAGGTTATTTTATATTTTGAGGGTTCTGTCTTCTACCAAAGGCAGGGTTTCTATTGACATTTGGGGTTGGAAACTCTTTTTGGGTGAGGGGCTGTCCCATTCCTTGTAGGATGTTTTGCAGCATCCCTGGCCTCTACCAATTGAATGTCTATAGCATATCTCTATTTTCAAGGACCAAAAATGTCTGTAGGCATTGTCTAATGTCCCTGGGGGTCAAAACTGCCCCTAAACCACTGCTCCAGGGTGACCAACTGAGGAGGCCTGAGATGTGGGATTTTCAGTTTTAAAACTGGGACCATCCTGGGGAACCTGGGATGGTTTGACCACACTACTCCCACTTCTAATAGAAATAGTTACAGTGGGTGGGAGTGGGGAAAATGGTTTAGCACCAGAAACACCGTACTCTGCCAGTTAGTCTAGCCAACTCCTAGACAAATCAATGAGTGTCCTTGGTTACAAGTGATAGGTTGGAAAGAAGATAAAAACAGTTTGCTGCTTCTCATTCGTGGTAAGGGGCAAACTGCTCCAAGGTAGCTGAGTCTGTGTAGAAGGCAGTTCCTGAAAGTCCCCACAAAGAGCTAGCTCCGTAACACCCACTGTCCCAGGGGGTCCTTCAGCCCTCTTGGCCAACACCGCATGCAGGCATCATGGCAACATCCTCCTAGACCAATGGTCTGAGCAGAGAAAGGAGACCAAGCTCCGAGGGACAGGGACGGGCCGAGGATACTGAGCCCACTGCACTCCTCATGCACAGCTCTCTCCCTTTGCCACATAGGGGAGAATTAAAGGAGCCAACTGTGAATCTGTTTAGAAAATGGTGCTCATTGAAAGACAGTTGGCTGGGACCAGCTAGGAGGGGTGGGAAAAACCAGGACTGCCCAGCTGCCTGGGTGGAGAAAGGGCTGGTCCTGGTCAAATGGAAAAGCCCAGTGGCTCTGACAGGAAGCATGGCTTGAACCTGCCTGCAAAGCATGGCTCTACTGATTAATGCAACTGTCCCATTCTTCAGGAGATGCACAGAGGCGCGCGCGCACACACACACACACACACACACACACACACACACCCCTTCAACTTTGCATTTAATTTCAGAGGATTCATTGGACTCCTGAAGTACATCAACCTCGATTATGGAGCCCTGAGCTACTCATTAATACTCACACTATTACAGAGCAATCCATATATGCCGCTGCACCAAATCCATTGGGCCAGATTCATTTGGCCCAATTAGTTGGCTGAGCAAACTTATGAAGTGGGTGCTAAAAGACGATGAACCATTCTCAGCCCTGTTGACTTCCCTGTGATGAAACATCATGTGGACTTTAAGATCAAAGACTTGGATTCCAATCCCTACTCTGCCACTTACAAGCAGGATAACCTTGGGCAAGTCAACTTGTCTAAGCCAGTTTCCCTAATATGATCATAAATGCTCAAAAATATTGTCTTCTACCTTTTTACTCTTGCTCAGCCAGTTCTTATGGAGGTTTCAAAGGCAAAGGTTCCACATCCCTGAGCAGAAGGTACCCCGAAGATCAACCAGTTTGACGGATGAGAAGGGAAGAGATGTACCAGCATCGCACAGCACATCAGGTGCAGAGCTGGTGGCTGAGACTCAGGCCTCCTGACCTTAGTCTAACAAACATCATCACTGGCCTCTGCCAGTCCTCACAGGTTAGCCACTCAACCTAGTCCAAGGACAGTTCTCAGCATACCTTCCTCCCCCGAGCCAGTCATTGGGATGGCACATATGTATATGTACATATATACATATGTATATACCATATATATATCATATACATATTTAAACCATATGTATATAAACCATATATATACCACATACATATACGTGTGTGTGTGTGTGTGTGTGTGTGTGTGTGTATAAAGTCTCCTAAGGGGTTTCCAGAGGGACTACAGCTTGGGAGAAGTTGTTGTCTCGAATGTGGGTTTTTCATTTATGCCTTTTCAGAATTAAGAACAAATCCAGTAGCTCAATGGCCGTAATTTGTCCATAAACACATGGGGAAAATGTCCACCCTTGCCAGAGAGCCCAGACTTGCAAATGGAAACAAGATACCACTTTTTGCTTGTAAAGTTTGCAAAGATTGCCATTAAAGTGGTAGCACTCGTGCTGCAAGGGCAGGGTGAGACGGGCACTCTCAGTATAAAGTGCTTTTAGGAGGCAATTTAGCAAATTGTATCAAACCTTAAAAATCTCTCCTCAGAAAATCATGAGAAATGCTGAAAAGGCTTTGTGCACAAGGCTGTTCATCTCAGCATAATGTGTAATTGTTTTTTAAAAAGGGAAACAATCTAATTACCCACAAACAGGGGGATGATTAAATAAACTCTAGAGGGGCCACTCAGTGGACTATTCAAGAGCTATTTAAAACAATGTTTACTAAAACTTACAATGACATGGAGGAATGCTTCTACTCTAATTTTCAGAAATCAGAATGCTGACAGGTGTGAATAATACCATGTAATCACAATTCTATTTTTTAAAAATTACTGCATTCAAGCATGACATGAACAAAAATATACCAAAGTAGTGACATTTTCCAAGTGTTCTATAATCAGCATATATTACTTTATTTTATAAACTGTTGACATGCATATGTTTCTTGGACCTCAAGGGTAGAATTGCATTAATCATAATGGAACACGTTTTACTTTCATTCATGAAAATATGCCATCAGCTGTAGAAACAGTGAGTGCACTGCCAGCCTCCCTACCAGTCTGCTTCCTCTCTGCCCCCAGCCATGCCAGAGCTGCCCCAGGCTTCCCAGTGCCCACTGTTCTGGACGGAGTTCAAAGGCCACTGCTATCGATTTTTCCCTCTCAATAAGACCTGGGCCGAGGCTGACTTCTACTGTTCTGCATTCTCCATTGGCTGGAAGTCCGCCAAACTGGCCTCCATCCACAGGTGAGTGGGCTCCTGGGCCCTCCACAGTCCAACAAAGCAGCCCCTTTGGAAGGGGGATTGGAGAATGGCATTTCTCTTTAGTAATTGAAACTAACTTTTATCCAGCCCAATGTCTCATTGATTATCCAGCCCAATTTCTCATTGAAACCATCCTCGGCAATAGAAGGCAAAGCATTTAGTAAGAGGAACAAAAAGTGTGCTGGAAGGTCCACCTTTGTAAGTGTCGATCTGTGCTGCGCCCCGCTCTTTATCACAGGGGGTTGGCCCTATGCTGCAACTCACATGATATACATACAAAGAATATAATATAAAGAATAATAGCTGATGTTTATTTGCTAAGTGTTTAGATACTGCATTGTATTAACCTCCCTCAAACCAAATTAGGTAGGTGTCTCAATTTTACAGATATGGAATCTGAGGCTCCAAAAAGGCAAGTACCTCCTCAAAGTTACACAGCTATAAAGTGATGAAGCTCGGCTGTGAGCCTGAGCAGTCGAATTCCATAGCCAACCCATCAAGGCATCCTTTGGGGTCCTCTGTCTCCTAAGCCCCAACCACACGGACCATCTCCGAGTTCTCCAGTCTGGTCCAGCCCTTTAATGCCTCCATACCTTTGCACATTCTGTTCCCTCTACTGGGAGTTCCCGTCCATATCTTCTCCAGGTATTGTAGATACCTCCTCAACCTTCAAGACACAGCTCTGACAACATCTCTTCCCCAAAGTGCCCCCTGTGTCTGTGACAGCCTAATTGCTCTCATCACCCTCCTCTCCCAGAGCACTTTCATTGCAGTTCAATGACCTGTTTCACCTCTGACGTCCTTGCTGATCTGTGGGTTCCTCAAAGCCAGGTGTGGTATGTCCCATTGGTACCCACACTACAAACTCACAATCTTGCCTCTATTTTTCAAGAATCTCAGAGACTGAAGTTAGAAAGACAGTTGATTCTTTATGCTTTAGAGTGACTGCACTTTGTTAAAAACAAGATGGGCCCACTCTTCTAGCTTTCAAAGGATTCTTCCCATCTATTCATCCAACAGATACATTGAGCGCCCACTGAATTCTCGGTGGTGCTGCAGAACATGGTGGGGATACAGGGTAAGACCCAGAAAACAGGAACCACTACAGATTCCTAAAACAGAGAGAATTTAATCCATACGTAAGTGATGGACTCTGAGAACTCGAAGAGATGAGAGTGAGGCAACCTAGAGATTCACGACAACAGGAAAGCCATTTCTGCCTTTGCCAAAGGGCAGGCCAGTCCAGTGGACGCTGGAGCCACTGAGGTGAGGCAGCACCAGCCAGTGACTCCCTAGGCAGAGAGGGAAAGAAACACCCTGACTTCTCTTTCTCTCTCTCTCTCTCTGTCTCCCTCCGCTCCTGCTCCTCCCTCCGTGCCCCCTTTCCTTGGAGGGCAGCTGACATGACAGGGAAAGGTGGCCTTCAAGGGTCAAATCCCCTGCAACAGAGAGTGCAGACCAGGACTAGCACATACGGCGGTGGGTAAAATAAGTTCTCAAAAATCCCCAGCCTATGGAGGAAAGGGACACATGCAATAAAGAGTAAATTTAAAAGTAACTCCAACTGAAGATTTTCCTTTAGCCAGCCCTAGGGAAGGACAGCTCAGCCTGGCTCCTGGCATGTGGGAACTAAACCTTGGTTCACTGAGCATCAGCAAGATTTTAGGCAAATTCAGGGTTTTTCCAGCAATATCTGGCCAACTCCTGTTCTTTCTGCCTCAACTTAATTTCTTCCACTCTTCCCAACTCCTAATGCCCCTCTCTTCCTCTCTTCTACTTTCTCCCCCTTTCCTCTCTTTTACAGGTTGTCTTCCACTTGGCATAGAATACTTTCCCAAAAACATGAACAAGAGTTGAATTTGAACAATAATTTGTTATCAGTAAGGTTTTGTTCCCATAAAATTGGACACTACTATAAAATTCCCAATTGCATCTTGTCTTTGAGACACAATTCAATTTTATATTTCTGGTGTTTTCTTCATGCTTTTAAATTTTGCCCTTTCTTTCATAATTAAGCACACAATCAGCTTATGCCCGTGGAGCATCTGATTGAAGTTCGAGGTTCTATACTTTCATCTTACCTAATTTCATCCTTGTTTCAAGCAACAATTGAATTAAGTTCATTTAATCTCTGCTCCTAATTACCTGCAATAACACCTTGGGCCTTTCTCTCTTCTAGTTATTTTGACCAGATATGGGGAAAATGCAATAAAATAGTGAAATTGTTTCCCAAGCGGGAGCTGTTGAACAGAGGTGGTGATGGTGCCAACCTGACCGGGTGGCCACCCCACAGGTGACTGCCTGCATGTGTGTCCAGTGGTTGCTATAGGAGACACTGAACGGTGTGTGAGAGGGACATTTGAGGATGCCAGTGCTCACACTGCTGGGTAGGCCCAACGTCAAACACCTGTTGGACTGAACAACACTTTGTCCCCAGAAATCACACCACTTCTTTATTTTTTTGTCTCTTTATGGTATCCCTTATATAACCCACCTTGTTTGCTAGTGTCTTTGAGGTGGATTTAAATCTTTAGGGTGAATAATATTACTGAGTCCTGCTCTCAGCTGGCATGGATCAAATCCAGATGTGCCCATGAGATGACAGCCACATCTGGTCACCTAATTAAGAAAGAAAAAGGAGAAAATAGTACAGTTGCATCATATCCTCTATGTACTTTGGTCCAGGAAGGTTAACAGGGATTGCTTCCAGATTTCTGTGAACAGAGGCAACAGGTAACATGTTGCTGTGTTTCTTACCTTCACAGCTGGGAGGAGAACGTCTTTGTGTATGACCTTGTGAACAGCTGTGTTCCTGGGATCCCAGCTGACATCTGGACAGGGCTTCATGACCATAGACAGGTGAGGAAGCAATGGCCATCAGGCCCTCTTGGAAGCTCCAGCCAAGATTCCATTTTCATTTAACCAACATTTCATGTGGAATTTATGTACCTGGTTGCTGCTCTGTGCTCAACAGACAGAGAGAACTCATACACCAAGATACCCCAGTTAGAATTCAATAAACATTGTGACAGAGGATATGATGGGAACATATAATATGGTCAAGGAAGGCCTCTGTTTGTCTAGGGTTCTCCAAAACACAGACACAAAAACATGATTAGATTTCCAAGAGATTTTTGTGGGGAAACATCTATGAAGAAAAAAAGGAGGGGCATAAGGAGGCAGGGAATGTCTTCAGACAGTGATGTGGGTCTGAGACCTGTGAAAGGAGAGGGGAAGGAAAGACTGGGCAGGAACAGCCCAGTCAAAGGATGCCCACGAGAGGAATGGGCCAGCGCTCGTACCTCTGACATGTGGAGTAACTGGCAAGCAACTGGGCATAGCCTGCAGGAAGCTTGGTCTCTCTGGGAAGGCAGTGGCAGAGCCAAAGAGGCTGGGGAGCTGAGGCTGCCAGTCAGCTCTGCTCCCTGCTGCTGGTCCTATTGAAGGAGCTCTAAGCTGTGCACCTCCATGGTTCCACAGCCTCCCTGGGGAAGAGACATTTAGACTAATGTTTAATAGATGAGTAGGAGTCAGCCAGAAGAAGACCATTATGGGTAGAGGGAACAGCATGGGCAAAGGTCCTGAGCTGGGAGGGATCATGGCACTTTCAAGGACATCGAAGACTAGTGTGTCTGGGATGCATGGTGGGGCAGGGGCAAGTGGGGAAATGGTGGGGAATAAAGCTAAGAGGATGGCTGGGGCCAGGTCTCATACCTGGCAATATCACAGAAGACTCCACCCAGAGGTTTTGTCCCCAGACTTTCCCTGGGCAAGCTGCATACTGTCTCCACTTCGCATGTGTGTCTCTAGCCCTGCCTCAGAGCACTGTAGCGACAGGGTTCCAGTTACAGCTCCTAGTCTGCCACTTACTGGCTGGTGGGTGACTTTTGGGCATTTTTTTTACCTCTCTGAGCTTCAGTTTCCTCAGCTATAGAATGGGGGTGATAATAATAGCACCTTATTATAAAAAGTAAATGAGCTACTGTATGTGAAGGGCTGAGCCTGGCATACAGTAAGAGCTCCTTCAGGATAGTACAAGGTGCTTACAAAGTAGCCGAAGTAACAGTAAAGGCCAGACTCAGAAGAGATATGTTTTTTTAATCAATAGAACTTGTGTGGTAAGAACCCATATAAAAGTTGTAGTAAAAACCCAAAATTTCCATTTATAGTAGTAACTTTAAAGTTGGATTATGAATACACTTTTTTAGAGTTTAAGGAACTTGAATTACAAGACTTAGTAGTAGTAATAATAACAAATAAATAAATACATTAAATAAATGGCCCTGGCTGGTGTGGCTCAGTGAAGTGAGTGCCACCTTGTGAACTGAGAGGTCGCCAGTTTGATTCCCAGTCACGGCACATGCCTGGGTTGTGGGCCAAGTCCCCAGTTGGGGGTATGTGAGAGGCAACCACACATTGATGTTTCCCTCTTTCCTTCCCTTCCCCTCTCTCTAAAAATACATAAATAAAATCTTTAAAATAATAATAATAAATACAGCAAAAGAGTTTGTTTTTTAAATGTTTTTAAATTTATTAATTTGAGAGAGAGAAATTCAATTTGTTGTTCCATTTGTTTATGCCTTTATTTGTTGATTCTTGTATGTACTCTGACTGGGGATCAAACCAGCAACCGTGGCATATCAGGACAGCACTCTAACCAACTGAGCTATTTGTCCAGGGCAGGGCTTGTTTTTTGTTTTTGTTTTTTCTTTTTCAGGGCTAGACACCATGTACCCAGGCAGGCACTAGCTAAGTCTTTTGCATGCTTTAATCTTTCAAGCTTCACAATAACTCTCTGAGTGAGATATTAACTCCATTTTCTAGGTATGGAAACTGAGGCTCAGAGAGGTTAAGCATCATGTCTAGATTGCAGAGCCAGGAAATGGGTGAAGCTAGAATCTCAAGCTTTAGTCTCTCTCTGAAGCAGCAAGCTAATTCCCATTGAATGATGTGGCCTCCATAATCATCAGTGCTTTGGGGAGACTTTTCTAAACACTTGAATAAATGAAGAAATGACCTTTGTTCCAGGACATTGCAAAAATGTAGTTCTTTCCACAATTGGCACATTTATTGCAACACCAATCAAATTCCCAACAGGACTTTCTGTGCAATTGGACAGAGTAATTTCATATCAGGCAAGAAAAATATGTACTTATTTGGACAAAAAGCAAAGGGATGAAGGGTGACTTCCAACCACTCATAAATTTATTTTAAAGCGTAGTAATTAAAAGAGAAAGAGAGGAAGGAAGGAAGGAGTTAGGGTCTTGGGAACTGGAGTCAGATAGAGCTGGGCTCAAATCCTGGCAATAACGCTGTATTAACTGTGTGAATTTGGGTAGACCAGTCTGAGCCCCAGTTTTCCCATCTATAAAATGGAGGCAATAATACCTGCTTTGCAGGGTGGTGGGGGTAAAATGAGTAAAACACCTGGCAGGCTATATAATACGCCCTCAACAAATGGCAGCTAGCAATGGCGGCAATAATAGCAGCGCATCGGGTTAAATGTGAGGACTTCTGCACTGTTAGATGTGCAGTTTAGAATGTTGTCCCTGAATGGGAACTCGCTGAAATGTTCCATCTTTCTCTCCTTGGCTTCCTCCTTGCCTCTGGATGAACCCCCCAGGAAGGGCAGTTTGAATGGACTGATGGCTCATCCTATGACTACAGCTACTGGGCTGGGAGCCAGCCAGATGATGGCATCCATGCCAGGCCAGGAGAGGAGGACTGCGTGCAGATGTGGTACCGGCCCACCAGCGGTGGGTGACCCTGCGACCAGGGCTCTTGCAATGGTGTTGGGGAGGTGCCACAGATGGCCAGGAGACTGGCAAGTCAGGTCTCTGGGACATAAGGAGCATGGCCCTCCTCCATAGTGGATACATTTTAAATAGTATTTAACAGTGCATTATTGACATGTAGCCTATGATTTGTATGAAAAGACATTAGAGGTGGAAGCATGACAGAGGTCTAGTGCTCCTGTGTCAGCTCACCAATGCACCACAGTGTGAGCCCCTCCCTAGACTGGTGCTCCTGCTCCTGACTATTAGAACAAAGGTGGGCCTGGGGAGGCAATGAGGGGTCAGTAGTGAGAAGAGTACACCCCTGAGTTCAAACCCTAGCCTTGTTGCTTTCCAGATCTGTGGCCTTACAGGGAATTATTCATATTCTCTGAGATAAAATGGGTCTCTTTGGTAAAATGGGCTTAATAATTGTGTCTACCCTCAGGGCTGTTCTGAGGATTAAAGGAAGTACAGCCAATGTAGCATGGTGGTGAGAGTGTGGACCCAGGTTGAATGTTCTGGTCTGAACTCCAGCTCCACCCCTTAACTAATTGTGCAGCCCAAGGTACGTGCTGTGACCACTTGGCACCTTAGAATCTTCACCTGCAAAATAGGGTTAATGATACTTAACTCACAGGGTTGGTGTGGGAAAAAAACAACAACAGGAAAATGTACATAAAGAGGCTGCAATGGTTAGCATGCACCAACTGCCATCACCATTATATGAGCCATTGTATGAGCAATCACCAACCACCATCATCATTAAAAACATTGTCACTCCTCACATCAATCTTGAGAAGTAATAATGGTTAATACTTCCTTTTTGTGGATGAGGAAACCAAGGCTCAGAGAAATTAAGTGATTTGTTTAAGGTCACAGCAAGCAAGCAGTAGAGCTGGGTTTCAAACCTAGATCTATAGAAGTCCAGATCCAAGCACTCAACTGCTAGTCCCTCCTTGGTCCGTTTTCCTTTCCTGATTAGTCAGGGAGGTATAGAACAGAGACTAGCTGTCCTGGGAGCCCTTCCAGAGCCTGGTAGCCAGAGCTGGGTCAAGCCTCTGGGTGAAGTTTGTCCTGCCCCTCCATGGGGGCGAGTGAAGACTAGCCCTATGAGAGAGTAAGGCTGGACAGACAGCAGCCTCATCAAGCATTAGTAAGGAAGGGATGCCAGTGCAGGCATGAGGCCTACTGGAGAGGGCTTTCATTCCACTGGGGTGGTGGGGTACTTTTATTGTGGTGGGTGGGCCTTCACCCAGGTTCTCTGCTTCTTCTCGCCACAGCTCTGAGGTCATGGAATGATAACACCTGCAGCCGAAAGTTCCCCTTTGTCTGCAAGATTGCATCTCTGACCATTCACTGACCCAGTCTAGGCTCTCGGAGTGAGCCCAATTCTAGCATCATCTTATAGATGTGCCTAGTGTAGAATTGACACTCAATAAATGTAAAACACAGAGGAGATAAATCTCCTAGACTGAGATTTTAAACAAGCAAACCTTGACAGAGAGTGGTTACTTGGTCACAAGTGACAGGAAACCCAATTCAAACTGGCCTAATAAATTAAAAAGAGTGGTGGATTTATTGATCCAAGGAACAAAAGGCTGGGGGCCGATCTAGATTCAGAGTCGACTCTCATTGGCCTGGGTTGGGGCGCGTGCGCACTGCGGCAGCACTCACTCTGGCCTGTGCTGCTTGGACTGGCTCGGATGCACACCGCTGAGGCAGAGACGGGAGGCGATCGGTGTCCTCAACCACACGGGCCCAAAGGGGAGGGTCGTTCCCCACGGGGAAGCGAAAATATTGCCAAACTCACACATTGCTGGTGGGAATGGGAAATGGTAAAGCCGTTATGGAAAATGGTTTGATACTGTCTCAAAAGCTAATTAGAATTACCAGATGACCCAGCAATCCCGGGCCTGGGTATGTACCAGAGAATTGAAAACAGGGAGTATTCAAACATGAATGGTCACAGCTGCATTATTCATAATCTCCCCAAGAGTGGAAACATTTTTGGGGGTACAACCCAGATGGCCCCATTTCATTGTCAAGGTCCTGACCAGTACCCTGACTGTAGTATGACAGACTGTAGTGGTTGGGGGCTTAAGTGCTTTGAAGTCTGGTCACACTGAGTCCTGGGCTTGGTCTGCCCCTCCTGCCACAGGAGACGAGAACCCCATCTGCAGCCAGAGAGGCTCTTGGCTTTCACTCCTGGAGCAAGTGCCTGCTACTTGTCCTCGGCTGTTTCTCATGTGTCTGTAGTAGCAACAGCCATCCAATCCAGTTATGCTCATCAACTACCTGACACATCACTCCTGCTAGTGCACTCCCTCCCCAGAACACCTTCCCAGTTTACTCCATGCAAGTTTGGACAATCGGACACCACCTTGTGCCAGAGGCTGCCTGTGTTCTGCACGCCATCACTGATCTCCAGCCTGGAGGAAAGCTGTCCAGCTCCAAGGCCCCATCTGGTTGTTGGCTTCCTCAGACGCTCCTGGTATTGGTGATTCCAGATTGGGTTCTCTGGAAGAGGTTGCTGAGACAGGGTTTGGAGTAGACGTTTATTAGGGATCAACACTCGTGAAGAGAAGGCAGAAGAAGAAGTGCGACTGACTCATGGCCTGACAAATTATCAGCCAACCTGCTAGGGAGATCTGAGGCAAATATTGGCCATCAGAGTGGACCACATAGGGCTGAAATGGCCAGGCCTTCAGACCTGGACTCGACTCAGTCACTGATGTGGGCTTCCCCGGACAGGATGTGGCTTCAATTAAGGCAACTCTCTGTAGCTGAGGCTGACAGCTGAGGGTCCCACTGTTCCCATCCTTGAAGGGGCACCTGGGTTGTGCATCTACATATTATCACATCTGAAATAAAAAAGACATAGATTCAAATCTCACCACTGCCACTTAAACTGTATGACCTCATGGAAGCGGTTTAACCTCTTTGAATTTCAGTCTCCTCCTTTGTAAAATCTCCCAGCTTTTATTGTGAATTATCAGGCAGGTTTGGGAAATAAAAAGTCTGCACAGGTGACTTCTCCAGAAAACTAAAACTTATTCCTCAAGCATCACAACTGTCTCTATCTTACCACTTTCGATGGAAATCTTTCTAAACTGTCTTATACATTTCCCTGCTTTCTTAAACAGAAGGGACCAAGAGGATTTGTCTTTATTTGATGACTCAGTGGGCTGCATCTACTTCAGGTATTTTTGTCTCCTGTCATCATATCTGGGTGTCATTGTGCCTGTCTCTGACAGCTCACAGAATCCCCACCTTTTCTAGGCTGTTGCTGCTGAGATGCTGTGGGAGGGACTAATGAGAGAGAAAGTGCGCGCGAGAGAGAGATCAATGATAAATGATGGGTGGATGGATGGGTAAATGGATGGGTGGACTCATCGATTCATAGATGCATGGATGGATGGGTAGATGGGTGGATGGATAGACTGACAAGAAGGCAGTGAGGATTCAACCTTAACTTTCAACTCAATACATGTAAAATGGGGGGAGAAGGTTGAAAACACAGAAGGCTGACCACAGCCTCAGGGCAGTCTTCTCAGGGAAGGCTGGGCTGCCTCTCACCCCCATGGAGGGTCCTCGGAGGGAGTATGTTTCTCCTGTGCTCAGTTTGTAAGTAGGGAGCTCTCGGTGGAGCTATAAAAAAGTCTCAGGAGACAAGTCAACTGTCAAAATAAACAGATGGGGCACAGTTAAGTGGTTTACCCAATTTGAAGAAGAAGAAGAATTTTTTGAAGAAACAGAGAAGTCAGACCTCTTATTTTTGAAGCAAATTTCAGAGCCAACAGGCCCTGAAACATCTGTCTTTTTAAAGACAGTCTGACCAGCTGGGGTGCTCTTTTGAGGAAGCCCTATATTCTCTCTCCTGATACTTGCAAATATGTTAACACACCAGCATGTTAACAGAAGATTCCAGGGCTTTCTTTTCCAGACCAGGGTGAGCCACACAGCACCTCTTCCTAACATGTGCTCAGTGTCAGGGACTTGAGCCATGGAAGCTCATTCTTTCTCCCAAGAGCCCCAGGACAGGAGATCTGCCAACCTTGTGACATGAACGTGAACGTCTGCCATCTATGACGTGGGAGACTGAGGACAAGCAAGGTTGAGAACTGTCGCCCTGAAGTAACTGATGATTGGATAAACTATGGTGCATTGTTCAGTGGAATCTATGAGGTCTTTACTCACAGTGCAAAACATGCCTAGGCCATATTGTGGATGGATAAAAGCCAGCTTCAGGAAAATGTGTAAAATATTATATCACTTACATATCCAAATCTCCTCCACAGAATTTACCTTACATTTCTATAGACACATATGTCTGTAAATATGGAGTAAAAAGTCTGAAGGATTCACACAAAAGTGTAAAATGAAGGATCTCGGAGATGGGAGTAATAGTCTGAAGGGAGCCCTTTAGCTTACTCCGCCACGTATTACAGTGGTCCTATATTCACGTAGCGTTGTGGAGTTAAAAACATATCGCCACTTCTAAAGTGTCAGTCCATCCTGTCTCATAACGTCCAGGGCTGGGTTTGACTTGGCCAAGGACCCAGGACTGTTGGTCCCAGGACCAATCACTGGCACAAACACTGACATGTTTAATATATTTATTACTGAAACGCTTTCAAGAAGGTAGTACCAGTTTCCACTCTCATCTATGCCAAGATAACAAGAATAGTGACATTCTTTGCTGGTACTGGTTTTAATGAATATTACTTTGATAACCATTGAGGATGAGCATTTTTTGTCACGTTCTTGGCCATCTTGAACTGGCGGGAAGGTTGCCAGTTTTCCAGTCCCCGTCGGCTGGGAAACGCCCACCTCCTAGAGCCCAGTGACTCTTACAGAAACCAGGCTCCCAGCGAACTGCCCCTCTGCAGGAACCCATGCTTTCCCCCCACACCCTCTGGAGTCATTGCTATTTGCCTCACAACAGAAAGACTCCAACAGTAACATGGGCCCATCAAAGTCAAGTCTTCTAGAGAGCACTGGTCCATGTTAATGATACCATGTATCCACGGGGTGAGGCCCCAGCTGCAAGGCAAGCACAGGTGCAGGGAGAAGCACTGCAGGAGCTTTCAGAGGCTCCACAAGCCCTGCTCTCCTCTACGTGGGCTCTGGCAGCTTGACATTCACCGGTAACTCCTTGCCACCCCATAGTGCATTTGTATCACCAGTGTCATTAGCTCATTACCTTTCATCCATGCAAGCTAGCCCACTGCCAGCCCCAACCACTGGCTTTACAGACAGAGTGTTATTGCAAAAAGGGGCTCATGGTAATAATAGAGTGGCGGGGGTGAAATTGTAGGCATCAGAATTTCAACGGGGACAGACTTGTCTTTATTAGGACAACATCTTGGTTAAACACTTGGTGGGGAAGGGAACCAAAGTAACAAAAGAGATGGCCAAACTGCTCTAGATTCAAACTGAGTTGGAAATATGTGGTGATCATGTGTCAAAGATTTATTTAATTCACCAGCAAAGGAGCAAGCAGGATGGGAAAAATTGCTTCAAAGGTTAGGAGAAACAAATATACACCCATAAACATTTAGTGGGAACAGAGAGTGCTAGAGTAAATGCTCAAGTTAAATACAAAACTAGTTGATGACCAGCAGGGCAATAAAACCTATAGGCCAGGAACTGGCAAGTTGTGACCTGTGAATCGAACCAGACCTCCCAACTGTTTTTGTATGCCCATGAGCCAACAAGGTTTTCTACCTTTTTTTAAAATATATTTTTAAAGACTTTATTTATTCATTTTTTAGAGAGGGAAGGGAGGAAGAAAGAGAGAGAGAAACATCAATGTGCGGTTCTTGGGGGTTATGGCCTGCAACCCAGGCATGTGCCCTGACTGGGAATCGAACCTGTGACACTGGCTCTCAGCCTGCACTCAATCCACTGAGCTGTGCCAGCTGGGGGTTTTCTACCTTTTTAAACAGTTGGAAAAGAAGCCAATATTTCCTAACATGTGAAAATGACATGAAGTTCAAATTTCAATGTCCATGAATGAATTATTTTTTAATCCTCAACTGAGGACATGCTTAGAGAGGGGAAAGGAGAGAGAGAAACATCAATGTGAGAGAGAAATATTGAACAATTGCCTCTCGTATGCTCCCTGACCGGGAACTGAACCCGCGACCTTCAGGTTTACGGGAGGAAGCTCAACCGAGCCATGCCGGCCAGGGCCATAAATGAAGCTTCAGTGGAGGCCAGCCATGCACATTCATAGCAGTCTGGGGCTGCTTCCACAATATGATAGCAGGATCAGATAGCTGCAACAAAGACTGCATGGCCCATGGAGCCCGAAATATTTGTCATCTGGCCCTTCTCAGAAACAGTGTGCTAGCCCCT